ATCCACCATCATGGAGCCCTCATTTAGTACCTGTTGGAAACAGAAGCAAACACCCATACCTAAACACTGAGTCGAACTAGAATCCAGATGCAGAGGGAGAGGACAAGACCAGGCTGCAGAAACACATAGAGACAGCTTACCTGAACAAAGAGGAGCTAATGGACCTCCAGACTGATAGCTGGGAATCCAGCATGGGACTGACTCAGGCCCCCCTGAATATGGGTCTCAGCCAGAAGGACTGAGCAGTCTAAGAGACCTCAGACAGTGGAACCAGGATGTATCCCTGGTGCACAAAAGGACCTTGTAGACACATCCCCCATGGAGGGATTACTGCCTTAACCTAGAGACTAGGAGACTAGTCCCTACTTCACATGACCTGTCAGATTTACATGACCTCACCTGGATGGCATTGCCTTACATGTGGAATTGGGGTGGGGGGATGGGAGGCGAGGGTGGTCAGGGTGCATGTGAAGGGGCAGAGAGAGTAAGAGAGAAAGAGGGAGGGAGGGAGGAAGAGGGAACTGGGATCGACATGTAAAATAAAAAAATGAAAAAAAAAAAAGAATGATTACAGGATAAGTATAGAACAATGTTGTGGGTGTTTAATGAGATTTTAAAAGAAAACATTAGGAGGAGCTATGGTTTACCTGGGTTTGAGGATGAGAACAAATAATTCCAGAAATGATAGGATAAGGACTCAACAAAACAAACATAGAATCACAATTGATTTAAAGGAAATCTGTGTAGAAATTAAGGAAATGGGAGGTGTGGATGTAGCTTACTGATAGAGCGTGTGTCTAGCAAAAGGCCCTGGGTTAAATTCCAACTGCCTCCCCTCCCCCCCAAAAAAAAGAGTGAGGGGAAATTTGATCATAATGAGGTAATTGCAAAGTAAAGAAACATGTATGTAAGAAAGAGAGCTTGGCATATATGGGGAGATCACACCAATGAGGAGTTAATTAGATAAGGGAAAACTTGTAATAGACTCAGGTAGAGCAGATTTTAAGAGAAAATGTGCTTATTAATAATTTAATGTAACATTTTCTTTTATTTTGTAGAACCAAATTAATTTAAAAACAAAGTTACGTTTGATCACATCAAACATATTAAAACTGCAAAGAGTAGTTTCTCTAAAGATTATTTATAACTTGGCTTTACAAGAAAGACAGCCATTGTCACATAGTAAAATAATTATTTTTTCTTAGAAAATTTGAGATGTCAAGTATTGATCTCATAGTTATTAAAAACAAAGCCCCATATGAGGTCAGGTAAAAACGTTGGACAACATGTTGTCAGCACTAGGAATATGTCTATAGTTTTGAAATAGCAATAATTCCTATATAAAATAGTTATTAGAATTCTGTAATACCAATAGCCAATAGGGCATGCCTTTGTAAGGCAGATGGCTGAATGGAAAGTTGAGAGGGTCCGTGCCCTTAGTTGGTCAGTTTCATGTCTTTCCTTCTCCTGAACCCACACTCTGTGTAGCCTCAGAACCTAATTTAATTGCTCCAGAGATAATCTGTATCGTGCAGATTTCTTAGTCCTTCCCCACCTCTTCCAACCCCCATAGTCATGCATTTTCTTTCATTCTCGAGCTTTGCCCCTTAACCGTCTTTCTCGTCGCCCTCTCTGAGGGTTCCTTTTTACCCTCCACAAGCTTCCTATTTGCTATTTGCTGTTGAGACACTGAATCTTGGAGGACACCTCATTGGTTTGCAATGAGCTATTCCCACAGTTGGTGGCCTCTTGCACAATATTCTATGAGTGAAAACACAGGTATGACTTTGTTTTGGTTTGCTCAGGAGCCCGTTCCCTTCCGGTGTCTAGATTAGGAGCTCCAAAGTTGAATTGGATAAGCCAAATCACCAAATAAGAAGTAAATAAAAAGAAAGAAAAGAAAAAAATTAAGAAAGAAAGAAAAGAAAAACCTACAAAAAAAAAAAAATCCACGTAGGATCAGTATCTAGCATCATGACAGTGAATATTCTAAATATTTTGGTTGTCAACAAAATCACAAGACACAAAGAAACAAGAAAACATTTGTAAATAGTAAAAAAAAAAAATCCGTTAAAAGGGTCTAAGTGTTGGCCTTAAAATTCAAGCATTTTAATAGCAGCTACTATAATATATCAAAAGAACAAGATGTAATTATGTTTAAAGAATTGAGAAACTGAGTGGCAATCCACAAATAGTGGATACTAATAAAGAAATAGAAATGGTAACATCAAAATGTAACTTCTAGGGTGGAAAGGCATAATAAATAAAATAAAAAATAACAGACCCAGACCCTTGATGTTGACCTTATCTGAAAGTTGTCTCTAAGCCTGGATGCCTGATTTACCTGTAGGGTGACCCTTGGCACGGTTTCCTGTTAGAAGCCTTCCCCATGCTATGCATATGGTAACGAAGACTTACACTAAGAACTTTGCTATAAGACTCTGGTGCTACATACAAAGACTTAATGATAGGAGCCTGCCACTGAATGCAAATTAGTGTCTGTCCCCAGGCTCCCCAGTCCTATATATCCCTATACTCTGGAATAAAGTTGAGCTTATTCACGGAAGTCACATACATCTGCAGCCATCTGAACCCTGTTCTCAGCTTCTTCTCCCTCCACTCTCATGAGCCAGTGGCAAATGATCCCAAGGAAAGAAAGACAACTAGACTCAGTGAAGTATACAGAGGAGCAAGCAGCAGGGTCAGGTGGTGGATGCCTTTAATGCCAGCACTGTATGTCTTGTATTCCCTTCTTGTTCAGCTTTCTCCTTTTCATTACCGATCTGCATAAGTATGGTCACTAATGAGCAACACAGCCAATATTAGGCTGTCTGGAAATCTTCTGTACCAAAGACATCAATCCATAACTCTTCAGTTTAGCTTCAGGCAGATTTTTTGGACAAGGGCAAAAAGCAGCCCAGTCCATTGTTTGTCACAAGAATTTGACTAGGTCACATACTAATGCTTTTCTCTACTGAAACCTCTTAGGGTGGGCCCCTACAGTGCAAATCGCCCTCAGTACTACTCTCCTCCATGCATCCCCTAGTATAGCCCATTAAGCCTCCTTTAAAGCATTCAACTGCTTTCCTAATCCAAAGTCACAATGTCTACCTTTTGCAAAAAAGAAGTAAGGTCAGGCCTATCTCAGCAATATCCCAGTTCCTGGTACTTAATTCATAAGGTGTCACATACTCTGCTTTAAAAAGTTAACACAAAGTCAATAAGAAAACACGTGGTTATCCCCATAATATCTATGCCACTATTACACTAGAGAGCATATTTGTCTATTTATCTAGATAACACACACACACACACACACACACACACACACACACACACACACTACAGACAGAAAGAAGACAAAAGTAGAAGGATGAAGAAGGGCTTTAGGAGAGAGAGGTAAAAAAGGATAATGTAGGGTAAAACAATTGAAGTTCATTACATGCATGTGTAAGACATCTTATGAATAAAAACATGGACAAAGGTAAATACATAGTTAAATTCACAGCATGTGATGCCACTATAAATACACAGATGGATCAACTGGATGGGTCAATTGCCTTTCAACAAGGTTTATTTCAATAAGTGTTTTGGGGACAACTAAATATTCACATGCAGAACAATTAATTTGTATATATATTTCTGACACTATACTAAAAAATCTTCACAAAAATGGATTATAGGCATTAAAGTAGGTGCTAAAATTATGCAATTATAAATATTCTAAAAAGAAAACAAGCATAAACCTATGACTTCTTGATAAAATACATAAAGTATAAATATTAAAACTGTATAAATTAAAAAAAAACAAAAGAAAATATTTTTTGTTCTTTAAGCAATAGTATAGAAACAATGCCCACACTGCACTGAGTTGTTGCTCAGTGTGTGTGTGAGTATGTGTGTGTAGAATTTGTTTGATTTTTAACCCTAGCAGGCAGCAGCATGGTTGGGTTTCGATAGCTAAATGTAATGAGGTCTAAGATAATAGTCTTCGGGTTACAGTAGATGGGTCTCATTTGACAAAACTGGCTTACCCCCCAGATGCTTGGGTCAGTTTTGAGATGGGATATGACATTAGTTTTCTCATTTCTGGGACAAACAACTGCCAAAAGCAACTTAAGGGAGGAAAGATTTGGCTGTGGTCATGGTTTCAAGAGATCTCAGTCTATCGTGACATGGCAAAGTAGCTCCTTTGTGATGGGAGTATACACCTAGACCGCTCATATCTTAGCTTAGCAGGAAGTACAGAGAAAGATGAAAATCAAGGAGGAGTTATACAATTCATGGGCTGGTCCTGGAGCCCACGTCTGCAGCCACATCCCATACTTTAAACTCCAAAACAGTTATAGAGGCTGGAGATCAAGAATTGAAACACACGAGTTCATGGGGGTCTTTCAGACTTAAACCATGGCAGGTAACTTTTCTACTTGAGTATTAAAACCCATGAACATGGCCTGATAACCTCTGACAACCTTTCCAAGCCAGGAAGAAACTGTCCAAATAGGTTCCTCTAGGCGTTTTCAGTAGCAGAACAATTCTCATGTATTACCTTTCCAATATAATTAATATTTTCTGTATATACAACTCAAAACATTATAATAAATATGACTTTTATTGTATAAAAATATATATTTACATGTTGCAACACTATTCAATAAGATATCAATAATTGGTTTGGGGATACGTGTACCAGTGATTCTTCTCTGCTCTGTGCCTTTTTTGTAACGCTTGCTTTTCAATAGTGATGCGCATGCATTATTTTTTCAGAAAAATTCAAATATGACAATAATTAGAGTGATCCTAATACTTATTAGCCAAACCAAAATCATCAGAGTTTTAATTCCAGATGGTGATAATCCAAATGAAATAAGTCCCCAAATAGAAACTAGCTTAAATTTTTAACTTTCAGAACTAGAAATGAAAAGTTGTTAATTCTGAGAACCTAATTAGAGTTTTTGAATAAGTTTATTGAGTTAAAAAATCCTATTAGTTCAAGGTCCATGGACAGCGTCATCTGCACCAGTAAATTAGGTGCACTGATGTTGAGGTAACAGCTAGTCTGTGGCATGGGAAAAACAGCGGGGTTTTGCCTCATCTGTTTCTGTCTATTTGACCTCAGAAAATCACGTTACCTTTCTTAAACTTACTTATCCCAGTCAAGAAACTATGCATTTGAGTTTAATTTTATTAATACTTTTTCCATCTATGATCCCATGGAAATCCCCAAATTAAGCTTTGTGTTGGAGCAGGAGCGATAGTTACTGTTTTGGAATGCACAAGTAGGATCTAGATTTCATCTTAACTGTGGGTATTTGGTAGAGGTAATGGTGATCAGGTGTCTGAGGGTCCCCGTGGATGCTCAATACTGAACGAGTACTGTGATCTCCTGGCATATATTTGCTCTATCTTACAATCTACCCTGATGATGGTGGTGGTGGGTTCTGTCCATACCCAGAATCTTGTAATAATGGAACAATAAGAAAGACTTGCCGTTAAGTGTTTCTATTTATTTCCTTCTGCTGCCCTAGCTCAACAAAAGTAGTGATGGGTAGCAGTTGTGAATTCAGAAGGAAATGTAAAGCGATCTCTGAATTATAACTCTGTTGCTAGTTTGCAAGTGTCCTAAGAGCCACATTGAGAGTGAGTGTGGCTGTCAGGGGTGTGTGTGTTTGCAACCGTGAAACCATGTCCAAATCGTTCTTAACAGAGAACTCCGACAGAAACCTCTGAATAAAGATCAGTGTCCTGGAGACAGGCCAGAGCAGCCCGAGGCAGGAGGCATTTATCACTGCCACAGCAGCTTCAAGGCCACAGAGAACAGGGCAAGCAAGCAGGTGCCTGCCAAGAGGAGACTCTGTGCTGCGTCAGCAATATGCTTCGTCTTCATGGTGGCGGAGGTGGTTGGTAAGCACTGCCCAGGAAATCTCTGACAAGAGTCTGCATCATACAGGGGAGGACAACTAAGTTGTTCTTTAAAAGAAGTAGTTAATGTTTTTGGCATGTGTAGAATGACAGTAGGCACAGAGTAGTCAAGTTGAAAAATGGGGGAAAAATAAAATCCATTATTATGTCACATTCAAATGATTACCTCTAATAACACTGTGGGGTGTTTCCTATAGTTTGTCTTCTGTGCATAGCTCATGGGGTTTTTCTTTTCTTTTACATCATTGGGACCATGCTGAATGCTCTTGTCAGTCCTATCAATTACTATTTAAAGTATTTTTATGCCTAAACAATACATTCCTCTGTAAAACACATAAGCATTTCTCTATTGTGAGACATTTGGGGAGATTTTTATCCTGGTTCTGGACTATACAATGAAGAAAATCTTAATAAATTTCTGCCTACCCTACTAGTTAGTCCCTAATGGATTCAAAATGGAAATAATAGAAATAATTGGTTGAAAGACATGAATTTTCTCTTACTTCTTGTACCATTCTGTCAAGCCTATATCCACACACTTGAAATGATTCATCAGTCTGGAAGTTCCTCATGAAAAAGATTTTCTATCCAACTCTTTACAACTCTTTGTTGGGACTGGAGAGATAGTTCAGAGTTAAGAGTACCTGCTGCTTTTCAAAGGATCTGATTTCAGTTTCCAGAAGCTGTGTTGGACAACTCACAACTACCTGTAATTACAGCTGTCTGACATCCTGTTCTGGCCTACACACACACACACACACACACACACACACACCCCACACTCACGAGCATCGTTGTTGATGTAAGTATGAGTGCTTTAGTATTTGCTTTCATTATTAGAATATTTCACACGCTTATTATTGGAATGTGTTTATTCCTGCTGTGCCTCACTTCCTTCCCTCCCCCATTGTCTTCTTAGTTGAGAACTTTGCAAATATTTTAAATTGATCTCTGAGAGCTCCTTATATATTGGGATGCTAAGTCTGGGCTATATCGTGTATAACTAAGATTTTAGTTTGTTGCTTGCCTTTTGCAACTTGAGAAGCTTTAAATTTTCTACAGGCAATGTAGGTCTCAAATAGAGGTGTCTTTGAAACACTCAGTCTGAGCTGATTTTTTTTTTTTTTTTTTAAACTTGGTAATTTTCACTCGTGAGAGAATAAACGCTTTCTCATGCATTTTTCTCAGTTTTTGTAAGTAACTTCTACATCAATGTAAAATTAGATCTTTTTGCATGCTACAAGGACTAAAGTCCCCTTTCTAAGCAGCTAAAAAGTTTCCAGTATAATGACATAATTATTTTTCCATTGATATTCAATATATTCTTGTCAGGAATTAACCTTGTAAAAGTAGTAAAGTGTGTTTCTAAGGTTATTCATTGATCTGAGTTCCTATTCTCTGTCAGTAACTTAATTAATTGTAGATTTAAATATTATAGTATCTGCTTTCTCCTCTATTTAGCAGAAATGTATAAAGGTTCCTTATTTCTGTTTTATAAAATTAAACACAATATCAATTCTGTTCTCACCCAATCTAATTATGATTTTATTGGCATGTGAGTTAATAGAAAAACATAAATATTTATTAATGATTAAAATCGAGCTGTAGTTTTCTGTTTTGGTGTTTTCCTAAGTTTTTTTTTCAGTCACAACTGAGCATGCTCATATGGGAACATTTTGTAACCATCTCTTCCTTTTCAGAGAGCATTCTGGGTATCTGGCAATAGAGAACTTTTCCTTTCTCTTTTGAAATTAATTTTAGTTTTTTTTCTCATTTCTTGGTAAAATCAAAATTTCCATGTAAGTACTTTCTTCTCTCTCTCTCTCTCTCTCTCTCTCTCTCTCTCTCTCTCTCTCTAATGAAACCAATCAACCAATCATCTAGTGGAAAATTTCAAAATTCTTGTCATACAATGGGATATGATGGCTTTTTATTTGAATTACTAGTTTTTGAAATTCAGTGTTGTCTTATTTTCCTCCAAATATGTAAAAGAACACTGTCGGTTACCTATACATGGGATCACTATTACCTTTGCAGTCTGGTTACTTCTGCTGCCTTTCTCATTGTTACCATTATCATAGGGATTTCATTTTCATCCAGTTACCCAAAGGGAAGCCCAAATAAGTAGGAAACAGGAGACTCAGGAGACTAGAGGAAAATTGGCTCTACCTAGCTCCTTTGTGCATAGTATTTTCCAGCTACCAAAATAAGCTGTGTTTCTCCTAGATGTGGAGTCTTCTTGTACAGTTTTGAAAAATCAGGTAAAGCCTTAGATCTATTAAATCCAAAACAACAACAGATTTGATATACAGCATTTTAGTCAACTTATAAAGAGAATCATTATCACACAGTTTCTATACCAAATGTGCTGTAGGCAATAGGCAGTTCCTTTTAAACTCCACCAACATCTCACAAGAATGCAAGTACACAGGCACACACAGAGATAGCATACATACATGTATTCATATTCATGTGCATACAATATAGTCCTACAGTTTATTTAGATGTATAAGTAGATGAACTATTCTACATATAAGAAATTTCCCTCCTTCCTTTCCTATTGGGATGCTTACTATTCCTTTGTCTTGTTGATTTGCTCTGGTTAAGGCTTCCAGAGCATGCATGCCAAATGGAAGTTGCTTGGTTTGTTCCTGATCTCTGAGGAAAGGATTTCTTTCCCCTTTTCCACCTTGTGTGGCATGAACCTGTGTCACTTGTAGCCTTCATTTTGTTCAGCTGCACTTCTACTATTCCTAGTGTGCTATTTGCCATTTTGCTTCAAAATGTTTCATGTGAGGCAGGCATGGGCAGCTACCCACACGGAGTCCTCCTTTCCCTCTTATTTTTATGTATCCATCGGTGCCAGTTCTACTCTCAGAAGGGATTTCATCAGTAAAAGCAGATAATGGATACTGACTGATACTTGCCAGAGTTTTGAGCTGTATTGATAGCAAGCTGATTATTCTAAACATGGCTGTTATCATGCTATATCCATCTTCAAAATTCTTCAGCGTGTTTGTTTTGTTTGAAATGTTGTTGAACGTGGGATTAAACTGCCAAGAGCAAATGCAACTTGAAGGGACTAGTTTAGAAACCATTTCTATGCTAGACCCCACTCTGCTCTCCCAAAAGTGAAGTTTCTCATACCCAGGACAAAAGAAAGGACAATTCTTTCCTTGGTTTTTAAGACAGTCCACCATTGGTCTGCCATATAAATTATTAATACTTGAACTCTCACCACATCCTTACAGAATTATTGAGTTCTAACTCAGAGAGATTATTCGTTCTCTGCAAAATAATCCTTATGCTTTAGGGTCCGGGTAGCTTTTGTCTTTCTCTTTAAATAGGAGAGTCTTCTCTTTGTTCCAGTCATTCCATTCTTGTCAAGGCTCTCTCTAGTCATCACCCAAGAGCCCACTCCACAGCACACCTATCCCCTAAAGTCAGGTAAAGAAACATTGTTCTCAAGACATCTTAGGAGAATCTGGGGGGTCCTTCTTCAGGATATGGACCCCAGCGAGCCCTAGAAGGGAGCATTGAGAGGTTCCCAAGTGAAAGAGAAAGTCTTTGTTGATAGAAGGCCGAAAGTGATGCAGTTATGTCTTAAATTAAAAATTTATAAATCAATACGTAAAACAAACAAAAGCACAACCGGACAGCTCACTATTTCTTCCTGTGGTTTGACAGGTGGCAACTATCAGGCCCTACCTTCAGATGCTTTGTGCTACATCGAAACAGGACAGGACAGGGGATGATGCTCCTGGAGATGAAGACACAACAGTGTAGAAGAGACTGACACTTTGGCTCAGCTTGCTTTCACTGTGCACCATGGCTGCAAGCCTGGCTCTCCTGTCCTGAGCACCTGATACTCACAGTCTCTGGTCTTTACTTAAAGAGGCTGGATAAAACTTACTGCAGAAATATCAATGTGGAACGATGCAGTGCCGGAGCTTCCAGGGCCCCACCTATATTCTAGCTGCCTTCAATAATCTGCCTTAGTAATAGCTTTTGATCCTTAGACTTAGGACATGTCTGCTCAATTATCCCCATATTCGCTTTCCTTTACACAAGCCAATAACTTAAAATCTTTCTGTTGTTTAAATTAATTTAGATTAAGCTTTTATGACTTAGACCTGAAAGAGAATTCCTAAAGCAGATTTTGTCAAGGATGCAGCTAGAATGGTAATCGAGAACTCATCTGGGGAAACAGGTCCTTTTGGAGAGCTTGCGTTGTATGTAACTGGTATTTTGGCAGAGGAGAGAATGAGGCCATTGAGCTGCGTTTAGGGAGATCACTGCCACAGTGTTCCCAGAAGAGTGGTAGAAGAACTGAGGAATGAAGGAGATAGGTACAACGTGCCCACTCTTGGGCCTTTGGAGCCGTCAAACAGGGGCTGCTTTTGGCAGCTCGTAAAGTTTCTTCTTTGTGGATGACCATAAAGGGGGGTTATACTGCAGCTATGAGCATACATCTCTGTTTGGAAAGATGGAATGCAGATATAGAGAACTCCAGAAAATAAGCGCAAGTATGTCATTCATTGTGGTAAGCAATTGATAGTAGGCAGAGAAGGGGCATCTGAGATACCACATTCAAGGTTACATAATGATGGGAGAGATGATATGCTTGGCATTGACACAGAGCTGAAGCAGGCTGAAGAAGACATGGATCTGCGAGTGTGAGCCTTCTGTCTTACTAAGAGAAAGATGTAGCTGTGATGTGTGACAGCCACATGCTTGATTATTAGTTTTTTATTTGCTTTGTCTGTAGTTACCATAGTGACTCAGGTCACAGATATTTTTGATTTAAAACCTTTATCCTTTGAGAGAACTTTATACATGAACACAAAATCTATATCACCCAGGCCCCTCTATCCAACTTTCCCTGTGCCTGACATTCCAATTCAGGTGACAAATATTTCTTTTCCTTCCATCCTTCCTTCCTTCCTTTCTTCCTTCCTTCCTTCTTTTCTTTCTCCCTCTCTTTTTTTTTTTTTTGACAGAATTTTTCTGTGTAGCTTTGGAGTCTTTACTGAGACTTGTTCTGTAGACCAGACCAGCCTCAAGCTCACAGAGATCCATCTGCCTCTGCCCCCTGAATGCCAGGAATAAAAGTGTGCACCACCACCGGCTGGCTCTCGGATATTTCTTGAGATTTCTGCTGTTAGGAAAATTTTAAAACAGGGCCATGAAAACTGTGGTATGTTTTCAGTACTTGCTAAATAATAAATCAAGGTTTAGACACATCATATTAAATAATACAGTATAAAGCATACATTGGTGTAGCCCAGTAGGCTGTCTTGGCTACTTTTCAATTGCCATTCAAGGATACCATGGCCAAGGTAATTTGTAGAAGAATGAGTTTACTTGAGGCTGACACTTTCAGAGTGTTTTAATCCATAATCGTCACAGCAAAGAGCATGGTAGCAGGCAAGCAGATGCTGGGGCAGTAGTTGAGAGCTCACATCTTCAGATACAAGTATGAGAGTGGAGAAAGCTTACCAGGAATGGTGTAGGCTTTTGAAACCACAAGCCCACCTTGAATGACACACCTCTTCCAACAAAGCCACAACTCCTAATGCTTCCCCAACAGTTCCACCATCTGGGGATCAAGTATTTAACTTGGGAATCTATGAGGGACAGTCTCATTCAAACCCCCACTAACGCTAAGACCATCAGCTGAACAGTTATTTTCTCAGCACTACCAATGGACCTCTTCTTCCATGGAAAATGCCACAGGAACTTAAGCTGTTTAGATGTGAGGGGGTCTGTGCCTAGCAGATGTAGGCCCAGTGTTCTGCTCTTGCCTTCGCTGCATGGGGCTCATGTGATCTGTTTCCAGGGCTAAGGCCTCTCTGTGCCTCTGTTGTCCTGAACTAAGCTCATTCTGCATACATCTTGCCATGGCCAGAAATAGAACTGACAACACTCTGTGTCACACGTTCACCATAGCTCCCCTCAGTGGTTACTGTTGTGTGGGGATTTTAAAAGTTAGCATGCAAAGTATTAAGTTCCGTTATGGTATTGGGAATCATTTTTGTTGTTGAGTTGACTCTTCTCGCCCCTCTTCCCCTTCCTGTTCCTGTTCCCCACTTAGACCCTTCTACCTCTGTATTGTCCATTCAACTTCCTTGTGTGGTATTGCCCTCGTCCCTTTCCTCAGTAATTCTTTTATACTCATCTCATTTTCTTCTTTCTAGTTTCATAGCTTGTGTACATTTATACCCATTTTTATAGACAGACAGACAGTCACGCACACACACACACACACACACACACACACACACTAAAGCTAGGTTCCACATATGAGAAAGATCATGTGATATTTGTCTTTGTGCGTTTACATCATGTTCCAGATCCATGTGTATTAACCACCTGCTTCACTTCCCTCCAAATCATCCTCTGTACTGCTGCCAAAGATCTCTCTCAAACTCAAATCTAAACATGCCTCAACCTTGCCTGAAAATCCTAAGTAGATTTCCTCAGCCTATAGACCAACTTTCAGCTTCCCTTGTCTGTCATGGAGTACCTCTTCAGTTGTCTCTAGTCCACCATTGCAGCCTCATTTCCCATAGTCCTCTGATTTGTGGCACCTCCTATTTTTACAGAAACGTGGGACATTCTTTTATTTCTTTTTCCATGTTCCTGTTTATTCATGAAACCCCAGCATTTTCTTGTTAATTCTCAGTACTTCTTTGAAGAGTTCCCGAATACCCAGGTGTCTCTGTCTCCATCCCAGTAGCAAGTCTTCAGTTGTGTTAGGAGAACATTGAGGAAAAAAGATTGTAATTTGTTTTTCTTTGTGTACTTTGCCCAAGCTACCACACACAGCAGGGGCTCAATAAATGCTGGCTGGATAGCTGAAGTAATGGTCAATAATGCCCCGTGCTTTCAGAAGCAAATGCACATGCTTCCTTTTGCAAACAGCTTGCTTTCTAGCATTCAGCTGTGCCCACAGTTTTCTGGATAGTTCTTATTACTGGCTGTGATGGCTGGAAAATGATTGTGGGGTCCCAGGTCTCCAAATGAACAGCTTCTTCTAAAGCAAGCCTCCTTCCTTCTTAGTTGCCTCATGACTGGCTGAGCCTGCGAAGGAATTCCTCTAAGACTTTCTTCCTCTGACTTAGTGGGCAATTTCAGCTTGGCGAGTAGAATCCTCATCATTCATGGCTGAATTGCCGCATGCTGCTTATCTGCATGTAGTCATTCTCCAGGCAAGAAATAATGCATTATTAACACAGCTTTATTATCACGACCAAGTACAGCGGATAGTCGGAACATTAGAGGATAATTGGAAGGACAGCTGATTTGTTAGCAAAATGTTGCCTTTTGGCTAATGAATCATTCTGATTTTTGCACCGACAGCTCAGTAACAAGCTTGAAGACTACTTTGCTTCAGACCATTAAACTTTGACAAACCAGTTATTAAGTACAGCTCGAGCCACCAGTCTGTGGGGATTATTGCAATTACGAGCCATCCATGTAATTTTTTTTAATCATTAGGCGAGACAAGGTGAGTCTGATGATGGAGGGGCTGATGACTGACAGTCTCTGCCTCTTTGTAGTACACGAGGCAATAAACAGCTGCAGGAAGGATTCATCAGTCAGCACACGCTCTTTTCCGGCAAGAGGTAGTCAGAGTAATAAAGGTTATTGCTCTCAAACACCAAGCCCTGTTGGGGAAGGAAAGGACACAATTTTCCTTTCATTTCTCTTCTGGAGGCTGGAGGTCTTTTCAAAGGACAAACAGGGAAGAAACAACAGGGATGTCACAAACGCCCAGAAAAGCAAGGTGGGCTCACATGCCTGTGGGTTTCTATCCTACACTTTGACACAATGTTTTTGCAATTAGTGTGTCCAAGGCACCAAGCCCCAATTTTTCCTTTCTGCTCTGCTCTCCTGTTATTTCTAGCATGAATCTCCAGTGCAGTCAGATAGCATAATTCAGCAAAACAAAGGGAAGGAGTAAAGAATATAGTAAAATTACAAATAGATAACATGTCTGTGGGCTGATATAACACTGTTTTCCTGAAAGAAGTTCAAGTCTACAGCCTGGATTATGAGATCCAGTGAATCTAGCCAACACCTCTGCAGCCGTATGTACCTGTAGGCTTATTCCTGAGCCTTTCCGCCTACCTAATTGAGGCACTGTCTCTATGCGACTCATAACTCCTATCTCTGTGTTTCCACAGCCTCAGAAATGGCTCCCTTAACATTCAGTTTTATTTGCTTCTAGGGTCTCAGTTATTTTTCAAGTTGGGGGAAAGGGGTAGATTAATTTGACCTGGATAACTTTTGCTTTCCTTCCCAAGTTGTGTGAATCAACAATGATTATTGTGCATATGAGTCGAATTGCATTCTGGACCTTCAGCCCTGTGTGATACTGTTCGTCTCACAGGTGGACATGTTGCTGGGAGTCTTGCTGTCCTGACAGATGCTGCTCACCTCTTAATTGACCTGACCAGTTTCCTGCTCAGCCTCTTCTCTTTATGGTTGTCATCTCGGCCTCCCTCCAAGCAGCTGACCTTTGGGTGGTACCGAGCAGGTAACGGTGTATGATTGTGCAATCATGAATGCATAGCAATGCAAAGTCCAACCAAGGGTTTTTTTTTTTTTTTTAAGTGCAAGGTAAAGAGCAAACCCTTGTTCAAAAATTCCCTCAGGGCCACTGGTTTGCTGCTGTGGGAATGTGTGCTCTCAACATGAATTCAGCTGACAGTGAGATTAAAGGAAGTACCTCCTCTCCTGTGGGACAAGAGTATGTGTTTCATGTTAGCAGCTATGCTATCCCCAGGGTCTCTGTGTAGCAACAACTAGAAAATATCATTTCATTTATTCTGCATCCTTGAGAGAGATGATGAAGGGAAAGCATCTGCAACGTTATAAACCAATGCCCCAGAGTCCAAGACAGTGGCAGTAGTGAAGGATTTCTCCTCAGGGAGTCAGGCATGAGATACTGGCTGTTCCAGTCACATACAGCATCTCGTCATTGCTATGGCTGGAATGCTGCTTTTGGATCTCCTGTTGGAATTTAATGATTATTGACATGGTGCTGAGATGGGACTCAATTAAGTCACGAGGGCTGTGCACTACTTAGTGGTTCAAGGTTGTTATCATGGGAGTGGAATCCTGATAAGAAAGATGGAGTCAGCATAATTTCTTCTTCTTGTCTCGCACACACTTTCTTGCTTTACTATCATGTTACGATGTGGTGTAGAAATGTTTGCCAGCTTCAAGAACCTTGGTCTGGTACTTCCCAGCATCCAGAACTGCAAGCAAAAACCAAACCAAAACAAAAAGTCCCTTTCATTATAAATTACCTAGTCTGTAGTATTTTGTTATAGCAGCAGAAAATACACAAGGACATCCATTCAGTGAATGCCTGGCTCAGCTGAATACTTGTTCACTTAATCACCAACAACAATAAAGTGGAAGAAAATGCTGACAGTGAGGAAGAAGAGGAGAAATAAAACCCACTCCTTGTTTGCTTCCCAGAGCTGCTGCTTGCACTGAGTGACTGCCTGCCCTTGCCCAGGAAGAGGCTGGCCTCCGGGCACTATAGAGTGTTCTCTTTACAGCACCCTCTCCCATCCACACACGTTGCAGCTCTTTGCCCCCCTGTCTGCTGGAGGAGTTTATATAATAGTGGCAGGAGTTTCAGTTGCAATGTTTTGTACCAGTCTTAGAAATACACAGCTGTAGCTCTGTGATTTCACACTGGCTGAAAAGTCAAGTCAAATGCATAGGTAGTCCTCACAGCCAACCTTCACAGTGAAAGATATCAGTAAGGTTTTCATACTAAGCAGTTTACCATTGCAGGTGTTCTGGATTGGCTTCCCTTCAACATTCAGAGAGAAAGAAACAGCATTAAAAAGTTGGAGAGATAGTGAGAGAGAGACATTTAGAGAACTCTTGGACCTGGCTTTGTTCACTTAGAAGCCATGTGAGGTTGTTGAGTTCTCAGCATTTGTCAGCATAAATTTTTTGCACATGCTCAACACTTTCTGGTATTATTAGAACAATTTTGTTTCTGTGGAATGTTTTCTTCTTAAGAGACAGTTGACTCAGGATTTTACATCATTGTTGAGAGCAGTGCTTCTCAGCCTGTGGTTCTTCACACTTTGTGGGGATTGAACAACCCTTTCACAGGGATCACATAACAAATATCCTGCAAAACAGATATTTACATTACAGTAGAGAATTTACAGCTATGCAGCACCAATGAAAATAATATGAGGAACTATATTAAAGAGTCACATCATTAGGAAGGTTGAGAGCCACTGGCTTGGACTATATCCTCTTGACCATGGAAATCTATGAGCCTTAATATTCTAAAAGCCAAAGATTGTTCAATAAAACTCTCTGCTATTAGGCAAAACATTTCAAAATACAGAGTATGATATAAACATTGAGAACTTTAAATGTGACTAGTATTACATGACAGCAATATTTTTAATTTTATCTAATTTCTAGTTAAATGGCTGTACAGGTAGTTACCATGTAAAGTACTACCTAGAAACATGGGTCGGCCTTGAGAATCCAGAGCCCAGGCTGTCCAATCTGCTGGCCTCATCTATTTCTTTTCGAACTAGTTGGTTTTGGATCCCTACCTAATGTTTCAATTTGCCTGTTGATCCTTGAGCTTGCCATGAGGGCTTTATTGACACAACTCTTGTCTCACTACACATTTCTAAACAAAGGCTTCAGATGGGACACATTCAACTTGAATACCTTGATTTAGATCCCCCAGTGGATAGGAACCATACTACTCATCATCTGTAAATTCCATCTCTGTTTCTGTCTAAGCAGACTTTTTTTTGGTGGGGGGGGGCTGATTCTCATTAATTTCAGCAAAGGGAGCTTTAAACAATCTAACTAATTAAATAGTAATTCTTGAGAGTTTGTTTAATGGTGTGTGTTTCCATGAGCTGCTTTAACAGCACGGTTCCAACTGGATGGCTCAGAGAGACATTTACCATCTTAGAGGTCTATAGAAACAGAAGTATGAGACAAAGGCATGAATGAAGTTGTTTTTTTCTGAGGTCTGCCAGTGAAAACCTGTTTCATAACTCAGACCTGCTGGTGGTGTGCTGCCAATCTTTTTTGGCTTAAATATCTTTGCTTTGAACTTTAACATTGGCTTGCACTCTTCTGTATACATGACTATTTCCACACTTCCCCTTAGAATAAGTAAAACAGTCATATTTGATTATAGGAACACCCTAAATCAAAATAATTGTATCTTAACTAGTCAGGTGCAAAGACCCCATTTCCAAATAAGGTTATAATATGAGTTTCAGATGAATAAAATTTTTATATACAAATTCTTGAGGGACACATTTCAAGCAAAAACACATGCCAACTTGTATCCATATGCTATTTTAAAGATCTACCTGCCAGAAAAAGAAGCTCTTACCTATCAAAAACCAGTTAGGCAGTCATTGGTATACCATATAGGACTGATACTTGAAGTCAAGTCCTTAATATCTGCTCCAGCACTTCTCATAGTGCGAAAATGTTCCATGGATGGGCCATCAGATGTTTTGAGTGTTGCATGGGCAATGGTCACATATGCATTCTATTATGCATGAAGCACAAAGTGGTACATCGAACTTGTAATTTTATAGATAATTTATTTAGGAAGAAGCTAAGCATAAAGTGAGTTATTGACAAATTCAGAAACCCTACATTTTCATGGAAATTAAACAATGTGCAATTGCACCATTCCTAGATCAAGGAAGAAATAAAGAAATTAAAGAGTTCCTAGAATTCAATGAGAATGAAGACACAACATGCCCAAATTTATGGGACACTTTGAAAGCAGTATTAAGAGGAAAGTTCATAGTACTAAGTGCCCATATGAAGAAACTGGAGAATAGTCACATAAGAGAATTAACGGCATGCCTGAAAACGCTAGAACAAAAAGAAGTAAACTCACCCAGGAAAAGTAGACACCATGAAATAATCAAATTGAGGGCTGAAATCAATAAAGTAGAAACAAAGAAAACAATACAAAGGATCAATGTAACAAAGAGTTGGTTCTTCAAGAAAATCAGCAAGATAGACAAACCTTTATCCAAACAAACCAAAAGACAGAGAGAAAATGCAAATTAACAAAATCAGAAATGAAAAGGGGAACATAACAACAGACACTGAGGAAATTCATAGAATCTTCAGGTCATACTTTGAAAATCTGTACTCCAAAAAATTAAAAAAAAAATAATGGAAATGGACAATTTTCTGGACAGATATCACTTACCAAAATTAAATTAAGAACAGATAAGCAATATAAATAGAGCTATAACCCCTAATGAAATAGAAGCATTCATCAAAATTCTCCCAACCACAAAAAAAAAAAAAAAAAAAGCACCCAGGGCCAGATGGTTTCAGTGCAGTACTCAACCAGAAATTCAAAGAACAGCTAATGTCAATACTCCTCAAAGTGTTCCTCACAATAGAAGCAGAAGGATCATTGCCAAACTCTTTTGCTACAATTACCTTGATACCCAAACCATACAAAGACATAACTAAGAAAGAGAACTGTAGACCAATATCTTTCATGAACATTGATGAAAAATACTCAATAAAATACTGGCAAATCGAATCCAAGAACACATCAATGAAATCACCATGACCAAGTAGGTTTCATCCCAGGGATTCAGGGATGGTTCAACATATGAAAGTCCATCAATGCAATCCACAATATAAACAAACTGAAAAAGAAAAACCTCATGATCATCTCACTAGATGCTGAAAAAGCCTTTGACAAAATCCAGCATCTCTTCATGATAAAGGTCTTGGAGAGATGAGGGATAACAGGAACATACCTAAACACAATAAAATCAATATACAGTAAACCATCAGCCAACATCAAACTGAATGGAGAGAAGATTAAGGCAATTCCTCTAAAATCAGGAACAAGACAAGGCTACCCTCTCCATATCTCTTCAATATTGTTCTTGAAGTACTAGCTAGAGCAATAAGACAACAAAAGGAGATCAAGGGATTACAAATTGGAAAAGAAGAAGTCAAACTTTCACTCTTTGCAGATGATATGACAACATGACAGTTTACATAAGTGATTTGAAAAACTCTACCAGGGAACTCCTACAGCTGATAAACACCTTCAGGAAAATAGCCGGATACAAGATTAACCAAAAAAAAAAAAAAAAAAAAAAAAAAATCCAGTAGCACTACTATATACAGATGATAAAGGGGCTGAGGAAGAAATCAGAGAAACATCAACCTTTACAATAGCTACAAACAATATAAAGTATCTTGGGGCCTGGGCCCTGTTCCAAATGATATGACAGATTTTGAAGACTCACCATGGAAGGCATCACCCTCCCTGGAGAGCAGAAAGGGGATGGAATGAGGGTTGGTGAGGGGAACAGGGAAGGACATGAGGGTGTGGGAACTGGGATTGACATGTAAAAGAAGCTTGTTTCAAATTTAAATTAAGAAATTATTATAAAATGTGAGTTAATGTAAGAAGAACAACAGATAAGTGGCACATGAATGTAGCAAAATAGTGAAGACTATGTATAAATGATAAAGCCAGGGAAGCAATAGCCACTTAGTGAATAATAATACACAATTCTGCTTTAACAGGAGTTAATATGAAGGAATAATGTAAAGGGATGCCACAGTTGGTGTTAACTGTCATCTTGACACAGCCTAGAGTCACCTGAGAAGGGACTCCCAACTGAGGGACTGTCTGGAGCAGATTGATTGTGGGCATGTCCCTGGTGGATATTCTTGATTGCTATGGGAGGGCCCTGCCTAACACCGGCAGCACCATTCCCTAGGCTGGTTGTCTTGTGCTGTATTAGAAAACAGCTAAACATAAGCTACCAAGCAGTGTCCCTCCATTGTTTCTAGCTCAAGCTCTTTCTTGTGCTCTGGACTTGACTTCCCTCAGGATAAACTGTGACCTGGGAGTTTTGGCAAATAAACCCATTCCTCCCCTCAGCTGATGTTTGTTAGAACAGCAGAATGGTACCAGGGCAGACAGCAGAGAATAGCATAATGGAGTTTTCCTGACCAGTGGCTCACAGGGTATTCCTAGACCCTTGTGGGTTTTAAAAATCTATCTACAAGGCAGAGTGAAAGAACAGGGTGAGTATTAAGAAATATTCATGTGAGCCAAAGTCCTTTCTTAAACAAGCACATTGAGATCTCTCTTATGTTCAAATATTAATGCAAATGTTTCCATTTGATGTTCTTCCTCCTTGCAGTTGCTCTTAAAAAGCAGCTGGAGTGCAGAGAAGCCCTTGAGTTCGCCTCTGTGTTTACAATATGTCCGGTTGGCAAATGAAACCCATTTTCGTAAAGTACACTCCGAAGCCTTCCATTTTTACTAGCTTATTCCTCTAAAGATACCAGTGCCGGCAAGTTGTAAATGTTTTATGGAGAAATTAAGAGTTTCTAAACACATTTTACTCGTCATATCTCATTATTTCATTCCCTAATAAGTTTCCATCATTTTAGCACCTGTATAAATTAAAATCCCCAAGGAGAACAGGGAGGGCAGGCAGCAATTAATTTGTTCTAAAAATTTGCTGAAGATTACTCCGTAATAGGAAGCATAATGAATTTTGATGTTCGTGTTTTATGGATGCAATGCTAAAGGGCCTCGTCTCAGTTCTCAAATCCATTCATACTTCTGCTTCATGAATCACTGTAAGAAAGAAAACAGTATGAAGCCATTTTCATAGGCAGGAGGATCAGAGAGTCTATGACTCTTGCATGGGGAGTGGGGGGTGTGAAGGTGATACTCATGTTGCTTTCTGTGAATTTGACTCCTAGAGATCCTTGGTGCCCTGCTGTCTGTCCTTTGCATCTGGGTAGTGACTGGTGTGCTGGTTTACCTTGCCTGTGAGCGTCTATTGTATCCTGATTACGAGATCCAAGCAAGCATCATGATCACTGTTTCAGGCTGTGCAGTGGCAGCCAACATTGTGTAAGTCGTCCCATGCTGAGTGTCTATTTAGCTTATCTTCAGTCCTTCAGTATTTGAATGTCACTAAAACTGAACATGGTATTTGTCACTGTAGATTAAGGAATTTTGTAACATTGGTTTCTACTAGCTACCATATTTGAGAGCTTCCAATATGCAAGACAATGGAAAAGGATCTTGTGATATACATATCAAATTGGATTTTGAAGTCTTCCAACTCCACAGAACATGAAAAGGAAATTCAGCTATGTTGAATAGGTAGTGAAGAATTATGATATGAATCTAGATCCGTGCATTTGGAATAGTTTCCATCCACTCTAATTTCTTGTGTGTGTTAATGACCCCCATGGGATGTGGCTTCCAAATGATTCAAATGTTGTTAGGTAAGTAGATTATGAATCTCAGACTGCTGAGTTGACAGAGACCTTAGAAATTCTTTACTGTAGTGTGGATTCAGTGTTTGAGGTCTCTTTAGCGGTCTCTTTGTAAAGAGGTCATTGTATATTTCAACTAAAGCAAAAATGGAGGTTTTTCTTCCATCAAACTGTGTTTCATCTTTATAACATGCTACTACATGAAAAGCTGTTAGGGAAAAAGAAACCCATCCCACAAAGTGCGTTCTGAAAGTATTCAGCCTTTCAAACCTACTTTATACTTCTCACCTCCAGAAATGTAAGATAAAGAATTCATGTTATTTTAAACTTCTACAACATTGTGGTAATTTATTAATTTAGTAAAATGAAAATCATATACAAACTGAGTTGTCCCTGATGCAAAATATAAAATGTCTTGAAACCTGAAACTTCAGAATATGTTTCAGGCTCAAAATTCTGTACCTTAGAGCATTTTGACCATTTTGAATCATCAAATTAGGGATATTTAGCTAGTAAATTTTATGTAAAAGTTCACATCTTTTTGTCTCCCAGCACAAACTGATACACACACACACACACACACACACACACACACACACACACATATATATATATATATAATATTTATGGTTGTGAGCCTAGCCTTTAATGGTTGAGCTATCCCTCCAGCCCAGTATTTATGTATATTATGTATATTATAAGGTAGATTTGACCTCAAAGACTTGACAGTGGCCAGAGAAATAAAAGTGGTATAGCATTTTTTTAAAAAAAGAGATGGCATAATAGAATCTTTGTGATCGGTAGCTATACTAACTTGTATTGTTTACAAATATTCCCTCATGTTGTCGTAAGAGTCTTACATTTTGATACCTCCATTTTCACCTTGTAGCTTATCCCCAAAATATCTGAGCCAAAGTTAAGGATAGTATTTGATGATTTGATGTCACTGGCTAGATCCTATCAGTTATGAGTTAATTTGAAACCATGCTTCATTTTGAAAGAAATAATGCAGATAGATGAAAGTGAAAGTATCTTCTCTAGGAGCTAAAACTCAGAACAAATGTCCTGCTCCCTGGGGTTAAATAATACCTTCTTTGCATTCGGAGAAGAGTATGTCCTGAAGGCAGTAGGAAGAATGAAAGTATTAATTATTTCCAAAGAGTTGTATGTCATGTAGGTTGTGTCAGTCCTATGCAAAGATGGTGGATCAACCTAGCTAACTACTATATTAAGTCTTGGAACTTAAGGGTGGATCTTGTTCTTTACAATGGATACCATGCAGATTTTCTTTTTATTGCAACTACTTTCAAACATTGACCTAACCATTGCAAGCACTTATCATACTTAGAAACACAACCTACTTGGTTGCTCTGCCTTCCCTGAGCAAGCGAGCAGGTGGTTATTTATGGACAAAGAGGCAGAGTAACTAGAACGTTTCCTCCAGGAACTGAATATGTAAGTTTCAAGGGCTGCTAGATACTGTGTTATTGGGATATATACAGATATCAAAACTGAAATTTGGGGGTAAATATGCTCATTGGGAATCCCAAGCCAGGACAGAAAGTTCCAATAGCAACTTTGAAGAGTGTTTGATAAAAGACAGATTCCCTAAAGCAAAGTTTTTCTGCATAATTTGTGAATTCAATCCAGTTGCTGCTTGTATCTAAAGCAGACTCTCTTCTGGTAGCAACTATTGTGGCTATTTAAAGTAGATATGAACATAAATTTGCGTGTGTGTGTGTGTGTGTGTGTGTGTGTGTGTGAGAGAGAGAGAGAGAGAGAGAGAGAGAGAGAGAGAGGGAGAGATGGAGAGAGGGAAAGAGATAGAGAGAGAGGGAGAGAGGGCGGGAGGGAGGCAGAGAGGGAGAGGGAAGGAGAGAGATTCCTTCTATCTCTGCCTCAATGTATGAGAGGGAGATATCATACCCAGTTTATGGTACAAATATTTAACAGTACATCAATATGTATTCCCCCATCATCTTAAAATAACACAAGTAAAACACTGCATGACAACATGATGAACATAAATAAAAGATCTAGAAGATCTATTGACTGCCAGCCCATCAGGCCATCTGGGGCGTGTGGAATGGTAACTCATAGTTGACAGTGAATTTCTATCCAAATACTGACAATCTGCAAACTGCATCGTGGAATGATCAAATCTTGGTGGGTATCTGTGATTCTTCTTTTGGTGATGGCCTGAGATTTAACAGATACTTTGCCCATACATGATGTTTCCTTCAGTCATGCTGGAACTTTGCAATATGTTGGAATATGTGTGTATATAGACAAGTTCTATGTAGATCAGGTGATTTCAGTCTCTGTATGAATAGTTATATATGCAGAAACAGTATTCTCTTTATTGGCCATTAGAAAATTATTTAGAATTCAAATAATCACTCAAATGAACCAAATTAAATACAATGAAAAATTAAAGATTCTAATTTTGGAAGCAGAATAGATAGCTCAGTCATATGCTTGCATCACAAGCATGAGAACCTGAATTTGACACCCCCCCCAGAAGCCACCAAAAAGTAATAGGCATAGTGGTTTGTAATCTCCGTGCTGGAGGAACAAAGACAGGGGTTTTCTGGTCAGCTTGCCTAGCCAATTCAGTGATTCTCAAGCTAATGGGACCCTGTCTCAAAAACAGGGTAGATAGCTCCTGATTCGAGGTTGTTCTCCAGTAACCACATACAAGTGCTGGCATACACATGAGCACATAAACATATAGACGTTTAGATTGATAAATTGCCTCCAAGAGCCATAGACTGTATTATAAAACACCAGAATGATATGTGAGAAACCTTTTGAGTGTTGGTCAAGGGAGACCAAGAGATTGCTCAAAAATATTAGCTACTGCTATCCTTTCTTGCCTCCCAGAACTTGAAGGTAAGAACTTATTGCTGAAGACGCCACCTACTTTGTACGAAGGAGGAAATGAGCTGGAATTGACCTGAGGCCTCTTTATTGTGGACTAACTCTCATAGAATTTGAAGGTTCTATGCAAGCTGTCAACGGAGATAAAAACCAATTGTCTGAGCCAGCTATAAAACCTGGGAACCGCAATGACAAGTTCAGCAAGATATACTCAGGGTTGCAATAGTGACTCTTAAATGTTGGGGGCAACCAACAGTTATCTAATTGGACGAAGGTTTGGTTTTCATGAAAGCAATAATGCTTTTCAGCTTTCCTGTGGAACAGAATAGTATTATGTTGGTGAATTCTCCAGAAAAATGGAGGTGAATTTTTGAACTATTTCTTTTCTAGAGTTTTAAAAAGTTCTAAGGTATACTTAGAATTAAATATAAGTCCAACATGGAGCACCTTAAAGCACTGATGCTTTAACTACCTGACAGTGTGAATAATGAATGCTACTGATGACTCCTCCATTATACTGCATAGGCTTTTAAAGGCTTATTGCATGTGTGTTAGAAACATTGTCATATCTTTCAGACTCACTGCAATTTTGCACCAACGGCACCTTGGCCACAACCACAAGGATGAACAAGCTAACGCTAGTGTCAGAGCAGCCTTTGTGCATGCCCTTGGGGATGTATTTCAGAGCATCAGTGTGCTAATTAGTGCTCTCATCATCTACTTTAAGGTATGTTTAAGTAATCATAGTAATTATAAGACTCAAATACTACCAATATTAGCAGCCTGTGCTTACCTGCACAAACCACTTTGTAATGTTAAAACTAACAAATACTGAAGCCTTAATATCCCCCCAGATTCCAAAGAGCTGTCTTTATCTGTTGGGCTTTGAGTCTTTCAAGAAAGTTCCTTTTGATATGGTGTTAAGATGGAAATCATGAAACCATGAACAACACATTGGGTTATTAAGCTGTAAGCAATGGATGAGATCTCTGATTTATACTAATTATCTGAAATGTATGGAATGAACTCAGAGATAGAAATCAAGGTAGAAATAAGGGCAAATTTTGGTATCTGTGGGTATTGTGCTAAAATAAATGTGTCTGATTAAGTATTTTTCCTGTTCTTATCATGTCCAAGAGTCATAATTCTTAAAGATTTGTTTATGTTTATTTTATAAATTGAATTCTCTGGAGCCTAATGTGAATGCTGGGAAGTGAACTCAGGTTGTCTGTAAGAGCAACACTCTCTCCTAACCATTGAGCCATCTCTCCAGCCCTGAGAATCACATTTCTTGGGAGAATGGACAATTTACTGAGTTTTGAACTTATGCCTACTGCTTGGCTGGGAAAGGGTAGAATGCTTGATTCGTGGAGCTACTTACATTGTCTTCAGTGTGGGAGGGCCTTCTTTTCCCCCAAAGGAGAGCTGTGGGGCAAAATGAGTAGGGAAGGATCTCCCACCCTAAACATGTGAGTGCTCACCAACAGAGTTGGGTGTTGGGACAGAGAGAGTGGGGCAAAATATACCATTCACCTCTATTTTTTTTCTATCATGATATCATGATTTTTCAAATTGGAGAGAATACTGTTTTTTCCCCCAAGTGTGAAGATATATAAGTAAAGGTAAAACATAAAAGAATTCTGAACTCAGATGGAAAAAAATGCACCTTGAAAACTTCAAGTTAGTTAATAAATTACAACTTTCAAAGTGAAATGAAAGGTTCAAGTCAAAGGCAAAGACAGTTTAATATCATAAAGATTGAAAGTTTGAGTTAGCTAGAAGGGTTGCAGAGAATATCAACGAACAGAGGCCTTCTAAACCCAATAGGACCCCTGTACATGTGAACTCACATAGACCGTGGCAGCATGCATACATGCTCTGCTGATCTAGGCCTGATGTGTGGTCCTAGTACTGAGAGGGGACATTGACTTAAGCCTCCATCCCTAACCCAGAAGCTATTCCCAGTGGATAACCACTCACAAATAAAAAGTTAGTCTTTTCCAGTGGAACCGAGTCATAGTTAAGGGCAGGCCCCATGCCCAGCAGTAGATGTCAAAAACAAATTAAAATCAGTGGCATTTTTGGAGGCTCTTTGTCTCATAACACTTTGTCAGAGCATTAAAAAAATCTTACAGGTCCTTTGCATATGTATTATGACTTCTGGTTTTGTGTTTTCATGGGAATTTTGTATGTGTATATATGCTTATCTATCTTCGTATCTATGTGTTTCTTGCTCTTTTTCTTTGACTTTCTTCTGTTTTTGTCTTATTCTGTTTTTATTTTATCTGTTATTGTTATTACTATTATTATTATTATTATTTTATTATTATTATTATTATTGTAGATTCCTGCATGTACCCGAATGGAGATGGGGGGGAAGAAAGAGTGTGGATTTGGGTGGGTGGAGAAGTGGAAAGGAACTGAACTGAGAGGATCTAGGGGAGGAGAAATGATAATCAGAATATATTATATTGAACAATCTATTCCAAAAAAAAAAAATAACTTGCAACACAGTCTTAAAAGACCACTAGCTTTCAGCAATCCCAAAGCTAAGAATATCATCAGATACCATCTGATACTATAGCAGGATTCTTCCAGCTTTGTTGTAACTGCCTACCCATGGCCCCCACAACATAGTTGGTAAATAGTTTTATTTATAACTTCTCTCTCTCTCTCTCTCTCTCTCTCTATATATATATATATATATATATATGTGTGTGTGTGTGTGTGTGTGTGTGTGTGTGTAATGTGTAATATATGTATATATTATAGGGGGAGAGAGAGAGGGGTGGGAACAAGAATCAAGCCTCATGTCTGAGTTTGGAATTTAATGGCTGAAATAAATTACATTCTCCTTCCCTCCCTCACTGTAATTAAAGTTGAAAATCATTGGCTAGTATAATCATCTTTTCACACATTTCCATGACTACAGGGTTCTCATTTAATTTAATTTAAGAAACTTTCAATCAGGTATTTTTAGAGAATACTTAGGAATATGTTTCAGTTTGATTCCTAAGTTGTGGGAAGCACATTTCCAGAAGCCTCCATTCCTTAGTCACTGGAAAGTCTAAACCTCTATGACCAAGTTCCAGGAACAGCATTCTGCCTTTGATTTGAATGCTAAGGGTCAGGAAAGTAAATGGATAGTGGAGAATGAAGAGCTTGGAGAGGTTTGATGATTGTATTAATCAGGTTTCTTGTTAGAAAGTTTGAACTTGGCTAACCAAAGCTGCCATGTTTTCCAGCCAGACTACAAAATTGCTGATCCAGTGTGTACATTTATCTTTTCCATCCTGGTTTTGGTCAGTACCATCATGATCTTAAAAGACTTCTCCATCTTACTCATGGAAGGTAGGAGTGCTTTCACAGTTATTCTTGGGACTGATGCTTCTATCCCCTTTGCAAGGCATGTTCTGGGTACATTTGTATTACAGGGCAAACTTAGAGTGATAAGGATTTTTAATATTTGATTTTTGCTCATATGGAACAAATAGAAATTATATACACATATATATTACATATATATGTTAAATTATGTCTTACAATGTAAAGATGTTCATAAACACTAAATAATACATTAGGGGGAAATATTGCAATAACTATAAATATGTCCTCAAGTATACTGGAAAATGTCTAAGAAATACAAGAGGAGTCTTCCCTTATGCAGTATTATAACTGAACACTTAGGTCTCATGTATCTCAAGCACAAGGACACGGGGATGACTTTTATTTGATCAGTAAGTGCTTGTTGAACCCTGATAAATCATGTCCTTAAAATTAGACTCACAAGGATGAGCAAAGCCATGACTGACACTCTCCTAATGGAGGGAGATACCCTTGAGTGAAAGGAGAGATTATCCAAACCATGGAAAAGAATAGAACAGCAAGTGTTACAAAAAAAGGAGGTGTGGAATTTTCACATGGCTGGGGAAGAGGGGCCAGTGGGGTAGCTGGGGAAAGGATGCTTCAGGCTTGTTCTTAGCCCGAAGTAGGATCTTTTGCTTATTAACCTCATTGCCCAAAGCCAGTGTGACCTTGTGTAGTCTGTTTTGCCTGGCTCCATGGGCCTTCTGTCAATCAGAAATGGATGACAGTAGTAACTCTCACGGTCAAGAAAACAGGCCATGATCAAAGCTTACTGGGCGTGTGTCCTTCCTCTGTTCTATAGTTTGGTGATTTCCTTTTCATTTGGCACAGTTGAAGTACTGCTATTTTCTCAGCTTCCCAGGCTGCATCTCTGCAGTTAGATGTAACATACATGCTGAGACTACTTCAGTCCCAAAGAAGAGGTAATTAGTCAGGTATAGTTGCAGATGCCTGTAAGCTCAGCAATCAGGAGGTACAGGCAGAAGCACCGTTACAAGTTTGAGGCTAGCCTGAACTATATAAATTAAATTGAAAATAAAATTAATACCAATCTGATTGTCTGGTGGTTTTCCAATCTTCCCATGATTCATTTAGGAAGAACAGTGACTGAAATTATGATAGTCTGTGACCCAAATGTTGAATGCTGATTGGGAAGCTAAAACAATAAGAAATTTGTAAATCAAATGATCAGATATCATTGCAATGTTTTCTTCTTAGCACAGTTTCTGACAACCAACATTACATAGCATTATAATTTACAAAGAACAGGTCCCTACATCATTCATGGTCTATGCATTGCTCTTATTGGCCATATTATATTATTCATCAGAGAAGAATCACAATTATAGTCATAATGCAAATCCAAAGTTTATGATACCAGACCCCATGTTGTTTCATTACACTTTGCAGAGCACGTTCAAAGATATTTGGGAATAGTACTGTTAGTATAATAATATTTTAAGGATGATTACCATAGTTAGACATTGCCTAGTAAATTCTGCATTTAGTCATGGACTTGAGATTGGTGACAAACCCTTTGACAGAGTCAGATTTTTAAACATTTGCAGCGCAGAACCCAAGAGGGACTGAATGCAAGTTGGTGTTCTGGTGAGGACTGTGTAGGCGGCTTAGCCTTTGTAGTGAGCTCATTTAGATAAGTAACAAGAAGGTCATACTTTTCCTGTGTCAGGTGTTCCAAAAGGCCTGAGTTACAACAGCGTGAAAGAGCTCATCCTCAAAGTCGATGGCGTGATGTCTGTGCACAATCTGCACATCTGGTCGCTTACAGTGAACCAAGTGATTCTCTCTGTTCATGTGGCTACAGGTCAGTGAGTTTTGTAAACACCCCAGGCAAGGTTCACTCTGTACTCTGAAAGCACAGTCATTTCTCTTCCTTTTAGAGCTGCCCTTGTTGTCTATTGTCTGTCAAAACAACTGTAAAATGTGTTGCTCTACCCAGCGCCTCTGAAAACCAACCCACTTATCAATGTTGTCATAGCAACAACGATCCCAGTGGCATCCTCTGGGCTCATTGCATAGTATAGAGAGACAGTACAAACAGCTAAAACATCTCTCCTACCTCAAGCCCTTGGCCTCAAGAAAAGATGACTTTAACTGTTTGTTTGGGCACCCATTGAGTCTAAATAATAGGAATGAATTCGACAACAACAAAAAAATCTCAATGGAGTATCTCCTGTGTAAAAGGTAGTTTTCTGACCCTGAAGATGAAAGAAGGGAAATGGTAGCTCAGCTTTGAAATTCCAGCAAGCTAATAGAAGTGTTGAAAGATGGTCAGATATCCTGTGGTCATGCAACACTCTTCATAGGACAGGACAGACTGAAGCCTGCTTTTTCCAAGTAGAAGAGGATTATGCTCATGATAAGTTTTCAGATTGGGGGAAATGGGAGGTAGGAGGTTTTTCCTCCTCTTAAAAGAAAGCTCAGGCCAGGGTTAGTATGTTAGGTTGTTTAAAAAAAAAAAAAAAGACTAAAGAAGTGACTTAGAGGCAAGGGACAGGAATATTGGTGACAGTCATCTGAAGGCTGTATTTTGTCTCCAAGGGTCTCAGATATGACTTCAGGAAATTTACAGGATCTTTTGTGCAAATATTTCACGCCAAGTGGAAGACTATAGTAAAAAATCAGGTTACCATGGAGGGGACTTGGCAGCCTACTGATACTATTTAAGACAGGGAAAAGCATGGCGGTGAGAGTGGATGCTCAGGGGAGGGTCTGTGGGAAGCTCTGACTGCTTCCTTGCTCCTGCCACTTGTCTTGATATAAATTCGAATTAAATCCGAGGGCTGCAAAAGGGAGATTCCTGGGGGCTGGTGAGCATGGCCCAATAGGTCACAATAGCTCAGCCTGGTCCTGCTTCTTCCCAAGTCTTGTTTCTCTTTCTTATGCATACCAGCCTAGAGGTAACTGGGTAGGAAGAAACCCATAGCAAGGGGTACTTTACTGTGCTCAAGTTCCTGTGTCTTGTCTGTGAGAAGAGAACGAATGTCTCAGCCCTCATCCCACCCTTCAGGCACCAAACACTTGAAGCTGAAAGCAATCAGCTCCTTCTCTCTCTCTCTGTCTCTTTCTCTATCTCTCTCTGTCTCTCTGTCTCTCTCTCACACTCACGCATGCACGTGCGCGCGCGCACACACACACACACACACAGAGAGAGAGAGAGAGAGAGAGAGAGAGAGAGAGAGAGAGCATTATCCCTGTTAATCTTCCTGTGATTCTTTTACCCACAGCTGCCAGCAAGGACAGCCAGTCTGTGAGGACAGGGATTGCTTGTGCCCTCAGCAGGAGCTTTGACCTGTACTCCCTCACCATTCAGATAGAGTCTGAAGCAGACCAGGACCCCAGCTGCCTTTTGTGTGAAGATCCACAGGACTAGCTGGGTCACACTGCCAGCTTCTGTGTTTCAGAGGCCATGACAAGCTGCTGCAAAGTTTCTGTAACACACAATTAAGCAATCCGCGGCATAGGTAGGAACGAGTTATGACAGTGTAAAGTGTGTGTTCTTCCTTCTTATTTATCTCCATCCGGAATAATGAAGATGCACAAGACTCATCAGTTTCTTGGATTATATCATAATTAGTAGTTGTGTCCAATTATGGGAATGCACATATTCATTACTCCTAACTGGGGGAAGAAACAGCAGATGTTTGCAACCACAGGTAATAAATGGTTCACTTCCCTACAGTAATTGGTAGAGTTGAATTTAGGAATGCCTGTCCGGGAATCCTCAACATGAGAAACAAATATTCGAAGAGACTCTTGAGGCATTAGACCTTACCTCTTCCACCACCCTCAATGAAACATTCATTATTTGTGAAATAGTGGAATTCCCTTTTTTAATCTCACATGTAACTTACAGTGCTATGTAAGTTACTGAATTATATTTTACATTATTACAGTGCTTTATGTGTAAGCAACTGAATTATATCTTAATTCCCTGTGCAAAGGGTATGGAAAGGGAAAAGTTCTGAAATTGCTAACTTTTGGTTGCTTTCATAAAATGTAATTTAATAACCCAAGAAAATGAGGAGCCATGGAACAGCATGTTTCTTAACCAGGCCACATGGAAAGGAATTCAAAGAATTAAGATAAATGTCAAATTTTGCACAATATTTATGGATCACTGTTGTTCAGTTGCTGTACTGCATTTTCTAACAGCATAACTTTTAGAATTTCGACTTAACACTATTTTAATTTAATTAATTTAAGTAATTTTAAAAATGTTACTTATTCACTCATTCAAGAGGTAATTTTTGAAGATAGGCTTGGGGTGGGGACTGGGGCATAGCTTTGTTTTTCATTTCTATAACAATAACAGTAGGTAATTAAAAAAAATTTATGTGGCTCCTGACTCTGCAGGCTGGGAAACTATACTTGAGTGGTGGCTTCCTGGGGTGGTAATAGATGTTTGTATAGTCTCCAGGCAGGGCAGAGCATGGCAGGACCCGAGAACCAAGTATCCTGGATTAATTCTTTGTTCTTCCCCCATAGAAAGTCACAGTCCCCCTGAATTAAGTGTCCCATCTCTGTGTTCTCACTGGACATTAACTCTCAACGGTTCCACCCCCAAAACCATAACCAGATTAGGATTCTACCGTCTTATGATTCCACCAGGGACATTAAATTTCAGTGTTAGTTTTAGTGGAGTTGTTCAAACTGTTATCAGTGAATGGAGCTGATGCAACGCTCATCCTCGTAGAGCTCTGTATCTTTTCTTTGGTGGTGGAGGAAGACTAGAGATGAAGACAACTGGGAAATGCTGGAAGACCTAGCAAGTGATGTGAGACTGGTGATGGGGAGACGGGAACAAAAAGCATGTGCTAGCTGGGCAGAATGTGGGAGGAGCCAGTTCTACAAGAATCAAATCTGTGAGTGAAGAACTTGGTGCATTTGGGGAACTTAAAGAAGGCCCGTGTTGCCGATGGTGCACTAAACAGGTGAATTAAAGACCATGAAAAACATGAAGCTGGAGAGAGAAGCCAAGTCACTAATCAGGATCTACCCTATCCTTAAGCTTTCCCACGCTTTCTCTTTGAATATGTTTTCATGTACTCTCTCCTCCCCAGCCCCACTCTCTTATTTTGACTAAGTAATCTGTCTCAACAGTTGGTCGTTACTGCAGAGGTGTGCACAGATTATTAGGGTGCATTCTTCATAAGCATAAAATTCGGAGTTTAAAAGCACAGCTCTGGCAGTGGTTCCCTGATGCATCCTATCCGTGACTGAACGTGCTCTGCTCTTCACAGACAGCACTGAGCTTGACTCTCAATAACAGTCTGGCTAAGGGAAGAGAAACAATCAAATTGAAAAGGTTGTGAATTTGATAAAAGATGGATCTGGGTTACGGCATTAAAAGGAGGGCTGTGGGAGAGAGGGGCTGCAGTGGCATGGGGAAGGGAGAGGGCTACAGTGGCATGGATGGGAGACAGGGACTGCTGTGGCATGGGCGGGGAGAGGGGCTGCTGTGGCATAGTGGAATTTGGGATGTCAGTGAGGCTGAGCATGAGAGAACTAGAGAACAATGGCTCCCATCTTTTCTTGCTTTCTTCCACATCTCTAACCTTGAACTCGTCCTCTAACCTTGAACTCATCCTCTTCCTCTCAACTTCAGATTCCTCATTGGAAAATGAAGTTTCTATTGTTTTGAAAACATTTATATCTGAGCTTCATGGACTAATTATATGCATGGAACATATAATTTCTGTGGTAAGTAGTCTAACCCACAGTTTCTGAACCTCAGCATGGTTAGAAATATTAAATGTGAGGTTCTACCAACTACTACAAAACATGTTTTTGACAAGGAATTAAAATATTTTTATCTTCTCCACCTTTGAAACATTTTATGCAAATGTTTTAATTCCCTACCCCCTCAATCTGGTAAAAATCTTTATAGACGAATACCCTGCTGCGATCTCTGATTAAAATGGCAGATCCCTCTACCCTCCATTTCGTTTGTGCTAAGTTTTTATAGGGACAGACTGTGAGATCAGATGCCAGCCACAGTTGCCACCTGCATTAGAATTAAAAATTAAATTCCCTACGTGCTGGTGCCTCTGCTTTAGTGAGCAGGGCACCCTCTTGATCAAGAGTAAAGTTTGCCTTGTTGAGAGACCTTGATTGGAATGGTGGTCTTTTTCTTTGCAAACTCAAATGTATTTCTAACAGTACTATTCTTATTTGGTGCTGAATCATTCTTTGTTGTGGGAAACACTGTCCTGTGCTTGGCAGTGTATTTAGTAGCAGCCCTAGGACCTACTTGTATTTGTTAACTATGGATGTAACACACACACACACACACACACACACACACACACACACACACAAACAGCACTGGCAGATGACAGATTTACAGATCATCAGGACGAAGTGGAGGTTGTGGAGATTTGGAGTTTGAATGGCTGCCTTTGAACAAGAACCCAGAGTCATAAGGGAACGTGAAGGTGCCCTTCATGTTGGGGTTATTATCTCTGTTGTTGTTTGCTCATCTATGGTGGTGAGGAATGAAGCACAGAACTCAACAAAACCCACCTGTGGTTGGGAGGCACTTGCTGAAAAGGGACAAATGATGTGGCCAGGCAACAGATGACATAGCTATGCCATTCAGGGTCCTTTGAGTTGTCTAAGTATCTGCCTGAGTGCCAGTGTTTGTAACTGCTGGTTGACAGTGGGCAGGGTCAGCATAAAGCCAGAATATCAACAATTTCTGTCTACTGATTTTCTAGATTCTTAATTAAGGAGACAATACATTTAATACAATTCATCTGAAACTGGAACATACCCTAGGCTAACCAGTTATTTTCCAAAGTTACAGTTTATCAAAGCTAGAGAAACTCAGGCTCATATCTCCTCTCTATTCCCCTTGGTGATCTATAAACTAGGCAGAGTATATCTCTGTGAGCCAGCCCCAGGCAAGATTCATGCCTTTTCTTTCCAATGTTGGTAAGCACAGAGTGGAGTATGTATGGACTGGTCCTCTGTAGACGTGCCCATCCATCTCTCTCTCTCATTTATCATTTGCATAGGGAGAGTGAATAAGCTGTCCTCAAGACTTAAGTTTAAGCCACAGAAAAATGGATGGCTTATTTCATATTCTAGCACCCAAAACATTTCATCAAGTTATAAGATACAGACTTAAATATTGATTAAGTACCATTTTGATTTCTATTCTGTTATTTATAGGTCTTCTCCCAGGACCTCCTCAGGGAAGAAGGACTATTAACAAGACAGGTCTCTATCATTCCAAGTTCTTGACTGTATAATATCTTATAATTCTAGACATTGGAGCTTATCTTTAGTAAGGAGAGGAAACATGTCCCATTTCAATATGCTAATTATGAAGGTGTAAATGTGCAGAAAGTTATTAAAAAATTGGTCACAGTCTTTAAAATAGGACATTTTTCTTTCTAGTCTGAATTTGGACATGTGTATAAATATACAAAATCCTTTTTAAGTAATTACTCCTTTTACATCTTAACAATAAATCCCTTCTAGCTTTAAATTTGAACCTGTTCATTAACAGGCCATTAATTCATGAAAATGTGAAAGAAATGCTATTCAAGAAAAGAGTATTTGCATATATGAGAGTGGATCCAGAGACCTCCAAGAAGAGTACACAGAAGCTTGGAAGTTGAATTCTTCAGGGTGTTGAAACAATAATTAAACTTAAAAGGAGAAATGGGGATGCACTGACTTCTTCAATTTCACATGTACTCTCCGAGCACTTGCTTTGCAGCAGGCATTGTGCTTGACAATTGGGTTATGAAGAAGAATTAGACATAGCATATGTGATAACCCACACTTTCTCTGGTAATTCAATTAAAATAAAAGTGTACAGGTGGATGTCTAGGAAATCACAAGTCAGTAGACATGGTTTATAACCCCTGCCTCTGCATTTATGTAAATTACCTGGAGATACTGCTAAAGAAGAGGTACAGCCAGGTGCTGGTGGTACATGTCTTTAATCCCAGCACTCTGGAGGCAGAGGCAGGCAGATCTCTGTGAGTTTGTGGCCAGCCTGGTCTACAAAGCGAGCTCCAGGACAGGCTTCAAAGCAATACAGAGAAACCTTGTCTCTCTCACACACACACACAAACACAAACACAACAAACAAACAAACAAAAAGGCACAGACTGGAAGCCACAGATATATACTTAGATAGTGACAGCAGATTCTCACATTATAGGACGAAGTAAGGCACGGAAGATTGTATGGTGAGATTTGCTAAGTGAGCATCATCACAATTTATGCCATCATGGTAACAGCCATGCTGGACTTTTATAAAGGGTTCCAAGCAGCTAAGAACAGGCTGTTATAGACAAAGGCACAAAAGGGACAAACACATGTGTGTTCTTTCTCTTAGTCTTCTATTTAAAAAGCAGTGAGCATGTGGGAAAGGACTCTTTCAACTCTGTGATTCGTAGCATTGTATAATTTCACAACTTTATGGTTATTAGTGTATAGAGAATATCAGTTCAGTCTTAGATGATCTATCTATCTTTCCATCTATCTATCTATCTATCTATCTATCTATCTATCTATCTATCTATCTATCATTGCCAACCTCCAGTAGAATGCTAGACAACCAAAAGGTATTAATGATTGTTAGGCCAATGCCTCTAAGGCTAGAGGTGGGCTTTGCCCCTGCTTTTTCATTTATATTTGTATTTTTTCTGGAATTTTGAAAG